CGCTACCAGGCCTGGGGACTCCTCACCCTCTGCCTGGATGTTTTCACCCGTGGCCTGACCCCAGAAACTGGCCTGGACGTGCTGGCCTTTGCTTCAGCTTATGGGCTGGCCCAGGTGGGCCGCACAGCAGAGGACTACGTCTTGGCCACCTTCCCGAGCGTGGTGGCCACACCAGCCTTCCTGGATCTTCCTGCACACCTTCTCATCCGCCTGCTCCGCTCTGACGGTCTCAACGTCCTCTATGAACTGGAGGCCTTGGAAGCAGCATCCCGGTGGCTTATGGCCAATGGAGATGGCCAAGAGGATCTAACCAAGGAAGTCCTGTCATCTGTTCGCTTTGCTCTCATGTCCGGCTTGGAGCTGAAGAAGGTCCCATCAGTTACTGCAGGGGTAGCTGACCCAAAGATCGTCCATGAGCTCATCATAGCAAGTTTGGCTCCCATGGCCCAGCTGCCATGCCGAGTGCGTTCCTTGCAAGAGGTGCTGGTGGTTTGTGGTGGAGACAAAGTGACAGCCAACCTGGCTTCCCGGAAGCCCAGCACACACCTCTGGTTTGCCCACCGCTACCTCAGTGCTGTGGGGCTAGTGAAGCAGGTGGAGTGGCGGGCACTGGGGCAGTTTCCCGATGGCCCACGCTTCCGCCATGCTGTAGCTGTGGTGGGCAACACCCTCTACATCCTTGGTGGAAAACGCTACTACGGGGTCCATGACACCCTGGCCAGTGTCTACAGGTGAGGGCTACAGAGCACCTAGAGGTGCCATGTGGCACCAGGACATTGTGGGATCAGAGGAAGTGTTGGTGGAGCTAGAGCTGGCCTATGGACCCAAGGCATTGTAGCATTGCAGTTGCTCAAGTGGTCCCGAGACATCCTGGGTTTGGTTTGGTCTAGGAGTGAGGGGTACCCTTCCACTTTGGGATGTTACAGGCAATTTGGGGGTAGGGAAGGGATGTTCCTACCTGGAGAAGTCTGAGGGCATTAAGGGTTTGGTGTTGCCCAGAAGGAGTGTGGCCCCAAGACATTATAGGATTGACTGGTTGTAGGTGGGTTGTTGCCCTCAGCGGTGCCAACATCACCACATGGCATTGTTAGGTAACAGGTAGTGTCTTGCCCCTTTACCTCTCAAACCCAGGTATCGACCTATGGATGACTGCTGGGAGCTCCTAGCCAGCATGTCCTGTGGGAGGAGCTACTTTGCCGCTGTGGCACTTGGCGATTTCATCTATGCCCTGGGCGGCAACTCGGGAGAGCTCTACTGCACAGACACTGTGGAGTGCTATGACCTGGCCAACGACACCTGGAGGTGAGACCACTCCACAGGGACATCTGCTTTCCTCTGCCCTAGCAGCCCCTTGCCTTGGCCAGTGTTGCCCATTGGGTGGCCTCTAGGTAACTGAGCCTCTAATGGAGAATAGACCTACAGTGGCTTTTGGGAGAGGTCTACTGGGTTTCGAGCAACCATTGGCTGTTGGCCAGTGTTGCTATTTGGTGGTGAATGAGTTGTTGGCCAGTAGTATTCACTGAGGGTCTGTTGGCTATTTGCCAATGAGACAAATCATCTTCCAGGTATGTTCATTAGGTGCTCTGTTGGGTGTTGGCAAATATTGTCCATTGAGGTAGTCCACTGTGGGTTGACCAATGGAGTCTTTTGGGGTCTACAAAGAGTTGAACAGTGATGCCCCTTGGGTTAGCTGACGCTGCCCACTGGGGCTCATTGGGTGCTGGCCAGCATTGCCAGTGGGGAACTCCTGGACTGGCAGTCACCATGGGTCAGCACTGCTTAACCTGCCCTTCACCCCTCCCTCTTTCCTTGCCCAGGAGGTGCCAGCCCCTGCCGATGGCTCTGTGTGGGCACGCGGCGTGTGCCCTGGATGGTGCCCTCTATGTGTCAGGGGGGTGTGATGAGGCATACCAGTGCCAGGCATCCTTGCTGCGCTACATCCCGGGTGAACCTGCCACACTTCTGGCCCCCATGAATGGCCAGCGAGCTGGCCACATAATGGAGGAGGCAGGTGGGCAGCTCTATGTGGCGGGGGGACTGTGCCAGCGGGCCGGGCACACTGGCTACAGGGACCAGCTGGCCTTTGAGGTCTACAGCCCCAAGCTGAACATCTGGGTCCTCCTCAGCCCCCTGCCCCATGCCCATGTAGTTGGGGGTGCAGCTGTGCTGGGTGGGGAACTGCTCGTACTGGGAGGGTACAGTCATGAGACCTACCGTGACACCCACTTGATCCATGCCTACCAGCCAGGCACCCGGCGCTGGATCACCCGGGGCACCTTGCCCCATGCCTATACTGACTTCCAGGCTTGTGTCCTCACTGTTCCCCCTGCCTTGCGTGGCCCCAGCTGCCTGGAGGACACCTCAATATCACCTGACACTCCCAATAATACTTAGGGGAGCTTAAAAGCTCTGCATCCCATACTGGGATCCCCAGGTAGCATCCATGGCCACTTCTATGGGATGAAACTGCCCACATATCCTTTCCCTAGAATGGGTTCCTCCTGTGATTTCCAGCAACACTCCTGCCCCCAGGGTACATGCCCTAGACTGTGGGGACTCTGTGGGACACAAGGACTCCCTGCACCTCAACCCTGGACTCCTCTGCCCTGAGCCCTTCTCCGGGAGCTGGGGATTCCCCCCCCCGCCCAACTTAGATTAAATAAAGTGGCTCCTGAACTGCCCATCTGGGTCTTGTTATTTCTGCTGGGGAACGCAGACATCCAGGTGCTTCTCGCAAGTAACAAGAGAGCAGGAGACCAATGGCCTGAGTGTCCTGGATGGGCGGTGGTGGTGACCAGGATTGACTGGGTTTCTGGGTCCCCTGGGGAACAGTGGGTGGAGGGCACTAGGTGCCTGCGTTCATTGGGCATGGGGGAGGGTGTGCGTGTGTCTTGGGACTGAGCAGCATCTTGGGGTGCATGGAGAATAGGTGAGTCCTGGGGGTGCCAGGGTTTTCAGGTAGATGGAAGGTAGATGGGAGCACTGGGCGTTCCTGGGAACTTTGGGGTTCCTAGGTGGTTCTGGGAGATCTTGGCTTTCTGGAGTGACCTGGAGTGCTTGTTGTGTGGAGAGGTGGGAGAATCCTAGGGAGGACTTGCAAGGAGAAGTGAAGGTAATGGGTATTCTTGGGAGATACTGGGGTTCCAGTGGTACCTTTGGGGAGGAAATTGAGGGTCCTGGGACATGTAGGGTTGCAGGTTCTCATGGCACCTCAAAACAGTATTTTAGATGCGGTCTAATGAGTGCTGAGCAGAGGGGGATAATCTTGGTTTACTGGCTCTGCTCCTGTTAACCCAGCCCAGGCTTCTGTTGCTCTCCCTTTGCTGCCAGGGTGCACTGCTGGATCTTGTTCACCTTTCTGTTGAGGAAGACACATGTCTTTTACCATAGCCCTGGTCCCCTGTGGTAGTGTCCCCCACTGGCATTGTTCTTCCTTCCAGGGTACGGGACTTTGCATTTGTCCTTGCTGACTTTCATCAGGTTTCTCTCAACCAATTTCTCCAGAGTGAATGGTGCTCCCTGAGTGGTAGTCCTGTTGGAAGCATATGAACTGACGCCTCCCAACCTGGTGTCATCTCCCAACATGACAAAAGCACTCTCCGTCACCTCCTCCATGTCATTGATAAAGATGTTAAACAGAAGAGTTTCCACCACAGCCCTGTGTGGTACCTGACATGTTGCCAGCACCCGAGTGGAGTATGAGCTGTTAACCATGAGCTACTGGTCCTGACCTTCACACCACTTTTTACCTGCCCAATTCTCCAGGCATTCAGAGCGCGATGGCCTAACCTGGATGCCATGACATTGGGAGAGAAGTGTCAAAAGGAGGTCAAAACTCCTGAAGAGGTGAGAGCTGATGCATGCTGCCCCACCACAGAGCTTAAGCATAAAAATGTGAGAAACAGCACTGTTATAAAACAAGAGAAGGCAGCCTTAATCCCCAGTATTGCTATACAAGACCAGAAGAAGCTGAAAAATGTCCCAAGATGTGGTAAAGGAAAAAAAAAAAATCAATGTAAAGAAACAGTTCAAACTTAAGTAATAGGAGTCTCTGGTGTCACTGGGCCCCAAGGCCATGCCTGTGTCTCTTGGATGCTTTGAGGGTATCTGAGCTCTCTTGGGCTATTGCAGTCATCTTTAGAGTTGTTCAGAGGGATTCTGAGTCAAATCTGGGGTCTCTGGGCCTGTTCCTGTTGTCCCGGAAGAGAAGGAGAGATTACAGTGGAGTCCGAGGACAGCACCAACACACAGACAAACGCTTGCTTACAAATGCAGAGCTTGCATTTGTCCACAGACAACACACACACGAGCTTTTGACTTGCAGACACATTTGCATAGAAGGATGCTCACCCCAGCTGGCCAAGCACAGGGGTACGTACCCTCCTGTGGACCAATTAATCAACCTGACAGAAGGGCTGCTAAGCCACAGTAGCTGGCCGATAGCCTTGGGACAGCTAGAGCTGGAGTAGTGTTTGAGACTGCAAAGGTGATTCATATGATCTGCATTTGTGCACCAGTCTGGGGGCCTGCCTTTTCAACCCTACCAATGGCAACCTCTGTCTCCTTCTCACACCTCCCAAAATATGTGGGTGACTTCTGCAGAGGTGGTCACAAAGTTTGGCCAGCCCCAGGACACTTTGTCCTAGTGTGATCCGTTACAAGTCGCACCCATCGTCCTCTGAAGCCTCCCACCCTCCTCCCCCATTTCCAGCCGTTCCACAATGGATCATGCAGAGGTGTTGATACCTACTGGTTCCTGAACTTATTACATGACAGTGGGATGCTTGTTCCACATGGTTTAATTCCACAGAGAAGGACCATGCATTTGGGGCAAAATGTCAGGAAGCTGGGTAAAAGTGGACGTTTCCTCTCTATCTTCGTTATTGCAAGTACTGAAGACAATTTTGTCACTCACCCTACCCTGCCAGGACTATGGGAAATCCAATGAAATGAAACCAACACCCATTTGAATTCAGGCAAAGAGAATATTTATTCTGTGATTAACAACCTGGCACTGAGTTGAAAGCAGTGCATCTTTATGTGCATCATTCGAACAGAAGAAGCTGGGACATAGAGTGTCCCAAGGAGTTTTCCCATACTCACCCCGAAACCAGTCAGTGTCAGTCCGAAACTATCACTGACCAGTGTAGATAATCTTCTCTCCATCTATTTCAGATCTAGAAACCCCAGGGTGTGTGAGATTAATACTAGGGAAAGGAGCTGGGTGGCTTTCCCATGAGCAAGCAGATCTTTCCCTTGTAAAACAAGGGTATGTGAAGCAGAGCCATGACCCTTCATCTCCTCTAAACACACAGAAACATTTACAAGGTGTTGTGAGCATATTTCACTCTGACACCACCAATGGCCTTGACACCCCTGTCCAGGCTGTAAGCAGAAGGGGTCCTCAGGGAGCCAAGGTTTGTGACCATCAGCTTCCTGGAGAAAGACTTGAAGGAAGCATTCAGAGGACTGTGGCGGACCCACAGCTCCTTTGTGGTGCGGAAGGAGGAACTTGCGGGATGACCGCGCTGTGTCCCCAGGTCTTTAATTGTACAGTAAGTGACCTCAGGGCACAGCTCTACTTCCTTGATGGTACAGAACATGGGGCGCTGGGGGGGGCTTTTGAAGGTGCTGGGATGCATCACAGGGCTTCCTGTTGGCTCCCTCCACATCAGCAGTGGATACTGTACCTCTTGGGTCTGCAGGAGCTTACGCAAGGAGGGCCGTCCCATCAGACACATCCACACCACCCAACCTGCTAGAGCCAGCACAGTCAAGACTAGGAAAGCCAACGAGGCCAGGTAGAGTCCCCAGTGCAATAGGCAGCAATGCCTCAGCACCCACTGCCCCCACTGTGGACCCTCCCCACCTGCCCGTGAGTGCAGCACGGGTACGGCCAGCCCTAGGGTGTAGTGTGGGCAGAGGGGGAGGGGTGCAGGTGGAGGGGAAGGTGTAGGTTGGGTGAATCCTGTGGTGTCCAGGGGAGCTGGGGCATGAGTGGAAAGCATGGGCGTGGAGATGATTGGTGTGGTCGATGTCAGAGGAGATGAAGATCTGACAACAGAAGAGGCCTCTGGCATGGTAGTAGAAGGCACTGCTGTGGAGGTGGTGGAAAACAGGCCTGTGGACACCATGAGAGTGGCATTAGTGTTGGTAGTGCCAGTGGTGAGGGTGGTTTGGGGACAGTTGCTGGTGCTGGGAGGTCTGGTGCTCACAGTGGTTGGCAGTGAGGTGGTGGAGACAAGCGTGGTGGATCTGTGTGGGGTGCTGGTGGGAGCAGCAGTGAGAACGGCGTCAGTGCCAGGGGGCTGTGTGGGTGCGATGGTGGGACTGGCCGGCACAGGACTGGTGGTGTTGGGAGCTCTGGTGCTTGCAGGCATTGCAAGTGAAGTGCTTGGAGTGAGAGCAGATCCCAGGTGAGGTCTTGTAGTAGTGAGAGGAGGCCAGGTAACAGCATGGGGAACGGTAGTTTGCTCCTTCAGGATGGATGGACGATGGGGAGAGAAGGTGATCATGGTAGCTTTTGCCGTCGTTTCTTCCACGTCATCATATCCATCCTCTTCGTACTCATCCACATCCCCCACATTGCGGCAGTTGAGCTTGAAGCGGATAACAGGCTTCCTCTGATGCTCAGGGGGGCTGTGGCACAGCACCTTCTGTGGGGCAACCTCCACCTTTGTCTTCTCCAGGCCCCGCTCTGGCTGATAGACACTGCCTTCATTCTCCAAGATCCAGTGTCTCAGGTAGTACAGGTCACAGTCGCAGTGCCAGGGGTTCTCAGTGAGGAAAACGTACGCGAAGAGGTGCCCCTCGGGGAAGAAGCCGGTGGGCAGAGTCCGTAGGCGGTTCCCTGAGAGCCAGAGAGTCTCCAGCTTTTGGAGACTCTGCAGCAGCTCCCTGGGGAGTTCCTCCAGGAGATTGTCTGAGAGGTCCAAGTCTTTGAGTGCCCTCAGCCCCTCAAAGACCTCCTGGGGCAGTGTCCGCAGCTGGTTCCCTCGCAGATCCAGGTCCTGCAGCTCTTTCACGGCGAGGAAAGCCCTCGGGGCCAGTTCTGACAGGCTGTTGTGGGCCACAGCCAGGCGTGTGAGCTTGGGAAGGCCCTGCAGGGCAGGCAGAGCCCCCAGAGCATTGCGGGAGAGGATCAGCTCCCTCAGGGACTGCAACTGAGGCCCCATGTGCAGATCCACCAGCCCGTTGTCAGACAGGTCGAGGTCCTGCAGCTGGGTGAGGGGCAGGAAGGTGTTTATGGAGACGGACACCAGGCGGTTGGCACTGAGCAGCAGGATGCCCGTGTCCATGGGCAGGTCTTGGGGCACTGCGCTGAGGGCCTGCCCTGTGCAGTTCACCTCCAGCAGGTCCTTGACCTTGTTCATCTCCGACGGGCAGGGTTGGCCTGGGTTGGTGGGGCTGGCTGGGGGCAGCAGGGCTGGGAGGATGAGCAGGAGCAGGGCAAAAACCCGCATGGCCTGGAGGGGAGAGCCAAGAGTGGTGGGCACAGACAGGCATGCACCTACAGATCTCCTTTCTGTCCACAAAAGCACCATTCGCAACAGAGCTGGTATTCCCCTCCAGACCCTCTGGGAGCCCTCTGAACCCCACAGCTTTCTTCCTGGGAGGATGAAAAGGAGAGATGACTCCGACAACTACTGCCAGCACCCACCCTATCATCTCGTCATTGGAGGGCAACAGGCTCAGCAAGGAGACACCATCTCTGCCCTTTTTCTCACCTCATCCTCCTCCATGGGAGGGATAATCTGATGCATGCACCTCCTCACGGTGGTGCCTCCTCTGCCAGGGTGGCATTGCTGCCCTCACTACTGCAAAAGCAGTAGCTCTGCGGTGTTCATGTCCCTGCACACCCACCACCACAGCCACCCCAGCCCAGAAAAGCCATGTGCTGGAAGAAACTCCCTGAATATGCTCTTACCCAATGCTGGCTGAGTCCTCTGCTTGATTTGAGTTCACAAGGTAGGAATCATGTGAAAAGAGCTTCCTGTGCACAAACGTGGCTACCCCGAGTGCCCCGTCCCTGGTGGACACCGCTTCCCTGGGACTTACCCGTGGACCCTCCAACATTTGCTCTCCTGCCCGAGGACCCGATGCTGGTCTGGTGGCAGCGCTGCCCAGGCTCTCTATCAGCAGGAACAGATGTGGGATGGGAGCTGCGGCTTCCTGAGCAGCCAAACCCATCTCCTGTCCTTAGCACAGCCTTCGCTTCAACTGCACTGCCACAAGACTCTCCATGGAAAAGCCTCAACCAGAGACCAGCTCCAGAATTTCTTGCTTCTGTGCAGCAAAGGAGGAAGGATTGCACCCAGGAGGAGCCCTTGCATGCTTCCCAAACTGCACCTTTTTACATGCTGGGAAAAAGCTCCCTTGCATAAATGTCTGCCTCTTTCTCTGCTTCGCAGCAGCTCTTTCTCAGCACACTCTGGACCTCAATCCTTGAGGCACCTCAACCTGGGGACCGCAGTCTGGTTGGCATACCAGTGAGAAACAGTTTCTGCACATTACCTCAATTAATTGTTCGTGGTGTAGACAAGGGATCCTTTCCTTCCAGCTTGCCAGGAGACGTGCTGTTCTGGAGAGCAGTGAGGCAACTTTAACATTTGTGGGAGAAGCCACAGCACAGACCAGGGAAGGAGATTAGAGGAAGAGGAAGGAGCTTGGGTTTGCAATGCCTCCTGCTGACTGTTCCTGCACCCGAGCTGTCTCTACTTCCCTGGGCCTTAGGTCACTACAGAGCATCTTGGACTGCAGGCCTGGAGGGTCATCCAAAATCAGCAAGGGCAGACACTACAGAGGAGGGGAGATTCTAGTTTTCTACTGGTTTTCCATTTCGTGCATTGTGGTGGGTCAACCCTGGCCAGCAGCTAAGCACTGTCTCTATAGCCAGATGGGGGAGAGAACTGGGAAAACAAAAGTGACATAAAAACCCCTTGTGGGCCAAGATAAAGACAGTTTAACAAGTGAAGGAAAGAGAGAGAGGAAAAAGTAAAAAGTCATGCAAAAGCATTCACTCACCACCTCCCACCAGATCGATGCCCAGCAACAGTAGTTTTGAAAAACCTCCCTTCCCCTGCCAAGTTTTATTGCTGAGCATGACACTGCATGGTATGGAATATCCCTCTGGTCCGCTGCAGTCAGCTGCCCCCTGTGTCTCTCTCTCTCACCCCCAACCCACTTGCTTCAGGGGCATTTTAGTTCAGCTTGTAGTAAGAGGGCTGGAGGCAGCAGCAAAGGCAGAACTTGGGTGGGGGTGGAGGAGGTTAGGAAGGGAGACAGCTAATGTAATGTTTGGCCTTCTCATAGGATTCCAGAGATTAAGTCTGCACGTGGTTTCCCGTCCTCTACAGCACTACTCTTACCCTCACCTGGACCTACAGCATCCCCCACGACACCACCAGTTGCTCTTCCATGTCGTGGCCTCATGTTCCATGCCCACAGCCCTTATCCTTGCTTCTGCCTCTCTGGTTCCCTTTTTCCAGGGAGGTGAATGCACTAGGACACCTTGAATCTTCAAAAGGTCCTTCACCCCACCTGCTTCACTCCCTGAAGAAGAAGACCCAAGCAGTCCACTGTGACAAGCCTTGCTGAAGGGGAAGGGGCACACTGTACCAGAGAAGAGGGGTGCACAGGTCAGGAGTCATCTGCAGGCACACTATTGCCATGGCTGGTTATGAGCAGTGAGGAAGAGGTCAGGAGAGATCCTGGTGTCCTGACATGCAGGTGGGGAGAGCAAAGGATCAATCAGGGACAATGTGTCTTTGCTGAACCTCCTTCCCCCATGTAAAGGCAAGAGGGAGGTGAGAGTTCCATCAGCCATCCTGCTAGCAGCGATACTTTTGCCCCACATTGGAGGATCAATCTTTCATTTCTGACCTTTTTGTCCAGCCCATCAGCTTCTTTCCCTGCTCCAGAGCCTGTTCCCACACCCTGGGGGTCTATCTACCATAAGGTTGTTGCCTCAACCTTGATTTCATCTGTAGACTGTTTCAAGTGGGTTTGGAGGGAACAAGCCAGGCTATTTTCCACTTCCTTTAGCACTTCCCCAATACTGTATTTGACTTCGGGAAACAGGAAGGAGATCAAGAGGCCATGGGTCATAGAAATATGCAACCGTATTGACCGTAGCTTGAGGAGCATAGTGCTCCCTCTCCAGTTCTCCAGTGCAGAAAGCAGGGTCTGTGTCTTCATCTTCCCACCAGGCTTCTTCAGGGCCACAAACACCTAATCACTCTTCAGAGCTCTGGCAGCAGGGGCATTGGCTCCTTTGACAAGCCCCTTTGCTACAGCAGGCTTCACAGCTGATTTGGGATCTGCTGCCTCATGTGGGCTTGTGCACAGCAAGGAACAAAGCTGAGCTATGGCCACCAACCTCTGGGAGCATTGCTCCTAGGGCTAGGCATGCCTGGAGGGAAAGGTGAAAGCCCTAATAGCATCTTTGAGCTGTTCCCTTTGGGCTCCTCCATGGTGGGAGAATGGAGCTGCCCTGGGCTAAGAAGGAGCAGACCTGCCCTGGCACACACTCAAGTGCATCCTCTTCCGTTCCTGAGAAGCCTGTGAATTCAGCAGTAATGGTGAAGCCTTCCCTTGGAGTGGTCCATGCTTGCTGGACATCCATTGAATGTGTTGTGAAAGCATGTCTGGCCTCAGAGGAAGCACATACTTCTGTCCTCCCCTTGCAGGTGGCAGTTTCCACTATAGCAAAGTAGTGGCACTTCCCCAAAAACATGCCTCAATACAAGAAACTCCTTTGCATGTGAATTTTTCATTTCTGCAGCTTCATCTCAGCCCACATGGGACATTCTGCTGCAAGCACTCAATACTGTATGCAAAAGCAACTTTTCCTCCCCCAAAATGAGTGGCCAAAGGTGGAAATCCATCTCACAGTGTTAGACGTTTCCAGGTGACGTGATGTGGGTGGGTGCGGGGACAAGCAGAGCCATGGACTGATCCCACTGACATGCCTTCTTGGCCTCCTGCAGAATGTGGTGAACCATTTTCTCAAAAGCACCTAAAAATCCCCACAGGCTAAAAGGAGGTGGAGACAATGCCTCAGACACAGGCATTTGGTGCTGACACACATACAGACACATCCTACTGAAGTAACTTTATTCCGTACATTTAAAAAGCAATCCCGGTTACAGGAGTGTCCTTTTGGTGGAAGTATTCCACAGGTAGAGAGTAAGGATGAAAGGCAACAGTCAAAAGTTGCAACTGGGGAAATTCTGACCAAACATAAAGGATTCATTCTTCCCCTTGAGAGACATGCAGCACCAGGACAGATGTCCAGAGAGGTAACGAGATCTCTACCCTTGGAGAGCCTACACAATTCAGCTATACAAGGTCCAGAGACACCTAAGGCAGCTTTGAGGTTAGCCCTGTAGTGCAATAGAAATCTCCACAAGTTCCTTCCCACCTAAATCTTTCTGTGAGTCTGAACTACTGAGGTCCCCTAAAAAAGCCTTCTCTTACTCCCTCCTTTTCATCAGGGCCACATTTTGAGCCATGTCCCAGGACCCAGCCAGACCCAAGGATGGACTCTCATTCCCCCAAATGAAGCCAGGGGAAATGTGAAGATGGGAATCCCCTCATCAACACTGAAAAATGCCACCCGTCCCTCTTCATAATCCAGAGAGACTCGGATCCGCTTGGGAGTCTGGATTTCTGGAAGCAAAGTGCGATTAGGGGATGTGAGAGCTTGGAAGTGCCCTGCCCACTGCCCCACTGCCCAGATGCCCTCCTCTGGTTTAAACTCGATCTCGCCTTTCCTCTTCACATCTTCTCTGGAGACCCCCACAGCCCATCCTCCCCCATCCACCGCCTCCACCTCCCAGTAGTTTCTCCCCGAGGTGAAGCCTTCACGGCCCAGCACACAGCGCCATGGGTTAAATCTCTCTGGGATGTCGGGGATGTCCTGCCGCGTGTCTCGGCGTGTCACACTTTTGCAGTCCTCAGACAGGACAAGGTCACAGTGGGCTGTGTCTGGATCCAGAACCACCTTCACTGCAGGGGAGAGAGTCAACACATCAGGGCAGAGCTCACCCCAGGAGGGATCTTTGCTGGGGCTGCATAGGACAGAAGAAAAAGGGTGCAAGCAGTAGCTGGCAGACTGCGGCACGGGAAGCTGCACAAGGTAGCAATACTGGTGCAAGGAACAGAAAATTAAGCAGAGAGATGTCATCGAGCATGGAGGGAAGAGGATTGTCAGCACACCTCCAGGCTGAAAAAGTCCCCGTGTCCCTAAAACGTGGCCGGCACTGCTCACTGAGGAGCAGGACTTTCCAGATTCTCTTGAAACTGGGGCACTGGTGTTTTAGGGCAGCAAACAAACAAGGGGCCTGAGTGTTACGCTTCCTCCTGTAAAGCGGGGGCTGGCAGAAGCATCCCTGGTCCCACCAGCATCACTGCAGGAAGGGAACTGCCAGGAAGGGCACTTAAAGCAGGGAAGATGATTCAGCACCCCAAAACTTTAATTACCTTCTTCTATTGGCACTGCACATCTTCTCCACGCTTTAAAAAAAAATAACCACAGGTGAGACACAATCTGAACACACTTTACTAGATTAGCTCAGGATAATGATATGCCCGTGTAGTTGCACAATTTCTGAATTGTTGCTATATTTGTGTCTCACAAAATGTAGCTTCAAAACTTCAACATCTAGTTATGTGAAAGTGCTCCATGCATTTTCTACAAATATACTCATGCCTGTCCTAATTCAGAGACATATTTATGGTCTGTTTGTACTTTCTTTGAAAGCTGAAAGCATTTTCTTCTTAATATAGAAGGATTACAGGGAAAAGCTTAAACACACATAGAGAGCAAAGGAAAAGAACATTTCTGAAATAAGTTCAGTATTTGCTACCTCTTTCTTTCCCAGGATGAAAATCAAAACTGGGGCATGCTTGCAAAACCCAGATGAGAAGACGGCCCAACCGAAAAGTCTCCCACATAGGAAGGAGAATGATACTTACCAAGTTCCTTATCTTGTGCTTCTGAAAAACAAGATAAATTGGCACAAATGGGCTGTGGGATATTGATTTGGACATACCCTCTCCCATAACCACCCACACGTGCAGGAGAGTGGGTTCCTGCCAATGCCTTTGCACAGCCCAAGCCTGCAGCTCTGCTCTGCAGGTGATGGTGTAGGTTGTCCTGTTCAAATTTCCGGCAGGAAGAGGTCTCTAGGGGGTCCCTTGCCTACAAGGGGGCCTGTTACATGGTGTTTCCATCAAATCATGGTGCCGGCAGCCAGTGCTGGGCACTCCCACCCTCTGTGCTGCCGCTGCAGTCATCTGTCCCCAACCACTGACACGGTCTTCAACAATCTTTAATTTTTTATTCTTAAATTCCTTCTCTCCCTTTACCCCCCATCCCCAACCATTTCTCAGTTCTTCAATTCACTTCACACTTTAAAAATGAAAAACAAAAAGCCAACCAAACAAAACCCACTACCCTAAGCAGACTCTATAAAAAAGTCCTTTGTAAGGAGAAGGAGACTCACCGATTTCTGCGTCGCGGTCCCCTGAACAACAGAGAGAAACACACCTGAGTTGCTGTTTGACACAGCAACTTCCCTGGGACCCCAGGTAAAGGACTGCACAGGCAGGGGGGAGTGTGATGAGGGGGGCAGATGCACTGATTTGTACTCTCACTGCAAGGGTGCTCATGATCCCTGAGAGAGCTGACCTGGATTTATTTATTTTCCTCATCAACCACCATTGGCAACAGTTTGGCAAGAGTTCATTTTTAATAGCCAAATGACTATTTCATGGCAATTCCATGAGCTACAAGCAAGCAAAAACGTAGCAAAAATATATGCCCTCTTCAGGTGTTGGCTTGGTTTTGTTTTTTTTTATATTTGTTGGTAATCAAGCAATCTAGATTTTTATAAGAAAATTCTCAACAGCTTAAGTTTCCATAATCTCCCCCTAAAACCCAGTAACTTTTCAATACAATTTCACTACTTAAAGTAAATGAGAATGGTAAAAAATATTGACAACCAATGTCAAAATTACCAATTACCAAAAAAGGTAATGACTTTTCAGAGTGAATTTTTTATTGTGGGGGAAGTAAAGAATCTGCATAAGAAGAACATTTAGACAGAATGAGAGGATGAATAAAAAGATCTGATGTTTTCACAGAGGATTTAAAGGGAAGGTGGAAAGTGGGACTTACGCAGTGCTGCCTCCTGCATTGCTGAAAAGCAAAACCAGAACAAAGCATCACCACCAAAGCCAATTCAACAATTACAATTGTTGGGGTGGGGAAGAGGCTAAAATTGCTCCTGATGGAAAAGCTTCAGCCCAGGAGTTCCTCAAGACCTTTCTTCTCAAGGCTTTTAAAGAACTTGCCCTCTCTCCCTGAACCCACCTGGGGCAGAGGCCAGGGCTGCCTTGCCAGAGACCTGAGCTCCAGCTTCATGGCAGTGGCAAAGGGGCAGGTTTGCATCAACACAGGGTTAAATTTCACATTCGGTGCCACGAAACCACCCCAACCCTGTGTTTTTTTAGCACTGAGACAACGCTGGGCCCCCTGCAAAACGAAATCCAAATCTTCCTCCAGTTACCCTAAATCTTCCTCCAGCTTTGTGAGGAACCTTGAGGGCACTTTGAAAAGCAAAGTTCACTGTTGGTACAACATCTGTTCAGGCTTTCTTTGGTTTTTTCCTTAAAATGACATAATTTCATAATTTCACCATTTCACAATTTTCTACAGTCACTAGCCAAACTATTCTGCCCCCTTCCCCCGCCCCATTCCCCAGAGATGTGCCCCATGAATTCTGCCATTTGAGGGAATACTCCAGCTTCTGGAAAATGTGAAGTAAATCTTACCTATTTTTTTCTCCTGCTTTCCTGTGAAAGAAAAAAAAAAAGAAATCTAAATAATTTTTCAAAAAATCACCCTTTCCAAGATGACTGATTGAACCACAGCAGGCGTTACAGCCATTTGCAAGGCAGAAAATGTTGCAGTGCCCTCCCACCATCACCTTTTGGTAAGAAAGAGAAGATTTCTGTTTCCTTTAGTCCTCCATACCATTTTTTCAGAGGGAGATGAGCCCTGCCAGGCTCCCAAAAGTGCCAGGTTGCTTTGCAGGGCCAGGCGCTGCGTCATTTCTGCAGGCGGAGAAGTGCCTGGCACACGCTGCCTAACGCCCGCGTTATTTGCCAGCCTTTAGGATGGAGAAGTGACCTTTCTTTTCTTGCTAGAAATTAACTCCCTGAGTCTTTAAGTTCCTGTGCCCCAGACACCAAGACAAGACTCTGACATTTCCCAAACCCGCCTGGCTGTTGACACCAGGGATGGCTGAACACGGCAGCCCCCTTCCCCAGACACCGCGCCAGGACGTTACCTTTAATTTTAAAGAGATAAACAGCGATGGTAAGGAGTGCGACCACAGCAACCAGCACCACACCCAGGGCAGTCATCCAAGGATGAGCATTTTGGAAAAAGGGATCTGGAAAATAAAACCCCAAAGGTGCTGGGTTACTCGGCAAGCAGCAGTGGCAGTCGATTATTTCTATTTCATACAAGCTTATCCCAAGCAGGTTTGAATGGCCTTGAGGATCAGTCCGAACTGTGCTCCACAAACTGACAAAAAATGAAATTAAAAAACCCTCCACATTTTGGCAATTTAGCACTTGTCTCAGGCTGATGATGCTCTGTCTGCATACATTGTGGGGGAGAGGTTTAAAGGGAAAATGGATTTCTAACCAAACTATTTCTAGTTAAATCATGTTTTCCTCTGCTTTGGAAAAAAATTATTATGTTCCATTAGGCAACATAGGATCAGAAACAGGGTAACATATGCATCAACAGCAACACTCCAGTGCAGTACAGCATCACCAGGAGAAAAGTACGGGTATTTGGGGAAACAAATTCTTCCAAAATTGTTCATTCCTAAAGTAGAAAAGGAACAGGATACAGATGAAAAGCATGTGACATGGCAGTGCAGTTCGGTGTATGGTTTGTCCAGTTCACCAGATCTCATCTGCACGATCCCCATCCCAAATCAATCTTCCAGTAAAAAGAGAGCTTTTCTATGTGACAAGGAAAAAATAAAATATATTCAATATATGCAGATGCTAAGACCAGACACGGCGATTTATTCCTTGTACCAAACCAGTAGAACAGGATTTCACAGCAGGTGAGACTAAGGGCACGGGTTGGTTTTCTTTTTTTTTGTTTGGTTCCAGTGTTATGAATGTTTGTATTTAACCTAGGTGTCTACAGAAATTCTGCTCCAACAAGGGTTGCCTTTTTCCTTTTCCCTAAACCTACACTTCAAGACAGACCCGGCGGATTTTGGCAGCACACCTGCACAGATGCTGCTGCAAAATACACTCGGTGCACCGAACACATCGCAAAATGTGTGAAGTCTGCAAAATGCAGCTGAGATTTTCTGCCGGCAGCACTTTCAGAGCGCAGCTCCGTTGGGAATGTTAACAGGGCGATGCCTGTGTCCCCCACTCACCTGATATATAGAAAGCTGATCCCTGCTCTTGGCCTCGTGGAGTGTGTTGGACAGAACAGGAGAGGTTCTGGCTCGTGCCTCTGGTGACGATTATACTGCTCTCTGCTGCAAAGAGGCCGCTCTTGTCCTGGGTGGTGCTTTCCGAGAGGGATGGGAGATGTCGCCCCTGGGAATCTTGCCACAGGAGCTGGGGCTGTGGGTACCATCCTGCCGAGCGACAGGCCACCCGGATCCCCCCGCCCTGGTACTGCTCCAGCGCGATGAGCGGTGCAGAGCCGCTGGCTGCGGGAAAAGAGAGACCCCAGGTGATCCCGTGGGATGCTGGATAGCGAGGAAAAAGGTGGCCTGGCTGTTTTTCTCTCTGACAAGAAGGGATGTACTTTGACATAGACAAATCCCAGGGTGGTTTTTTTTTTAAGACAAGCGTCACCTGGATTCAGGACATTTCTTACAATCTTTTTCAGACAACTGAAAGATCTGCTCCAGAGGCTTCTACTGCAGCAAAATAATCTGCAGGCCTGGATGCTAAAATATAAAAGCATGAATGAAGACACTCCTACTTTATTATGCAATGCCAAATTTTTTCTTACACTCTTTTATATGAAGAAAACAATTTCAAGAACACTTCTAAAGTAGGTAGCGTATCTCATGAGCTCCTTATGGCCACTCAGTAGGCAATTTTACCTCTCTAAGACATTCTTGGTATTTTCTGAAAAGTATGTTGAAGTAATAGATTCAGCACATAGATAGCATTCCATTACGAGTTTCAACCACGGGACTTAATAAAACCGTATTTCCAAAGCAACTGCCTGAAATTGCTGCTGGGAAGAAGGCCAGGGAAGAAGAATGCTGGCTACGAGAAGTAAATTAGAGGTACCAGGGACATGGACTACAGACCTGTCACCTTCAGCTCCACCACAGCCTCGTCGTAATCCGAGTCGCGGCGAATAAAGCAGGTGTAATTCCCTCTGTCCGACAGTTGGACATGGAAAATTTTCAAGTTCACGCTGCCCATGGAGAGGCCGTCCTTCAGCAGCTCGGTGCGCCCTTGGTATTGAGGCATCTGCTCCCCGTACTGGTCCTGGCCCCCCTTGTAGCGATGCACAAAGGGTGAGAACTGCTCCCGAAACCAGACCACCTCCATCTCCTGCGCGCTCTGCTCCGGGGAGAGGCGGCAGGGCAACACCACGTCCTCACCCATGGCCTTGGTGATGGGGCCAGGGGATCCCGTCACCTTGAACAGAGCTGGGAGAAACCCCCCGAGGAGGAAGAAGAAGTAACTGTGAGTTTGCTGAAGTGGCTGAGCTTGGGAAATCAGCGGGTGCTGCTCCCTGTGGTTTGTGCTGCCTTGCCATGCCGTGGTGATGGTGGTGTAACTGCACCAGGGGGGAGAGGGCATTGGGGGGAGGGCTGGGAGAGGGACCCCTGCCACGCAGGATGGCGAGAGGGCTGGGGCCAGGCCACAACTACTTCCTCTGCTCCCCTCTTCTGTACTATTGTAAAAATTCTTCAAATCCCTAAAAGTTGGTTTGTTCTCAAAGGGGATGGGTGCTGCTCAAGCTGCTTGGGGTGGGGAGAAGGCAGCATAGAGAAGGAAGGAAACAGCTGGAAGGTGTTGCTGGCTGGAGAAAGCAGACAACTTGAGTACAAATAAAACTCAAATATCCTCAGTTGTTTGCATCTATTGCAAGAGAAAAATACATCTCAGGTGCTCTGGGCATCTTTGGAAATTAAAAAAAAAAAGGCTTATTAATAAGCTCACAAAGTGATCTCTTGTTGAAGAAAGATAAAAGAAAATCAACTTTTTTTTTTGGTAACTTTCAAGGCAACTGTTCTGTTGCATCCGTTTGCCAGGTCTGCCTTGAGGGCTGCCAGGTCAGCAATCTAACGGGAAAAGAGCCCAGAATATTTTTTAAAAGACTTTTTATGTTGTTTTTCCCTTTATTGCATTGGTTCTGCAAAGTGTCCAGCACACCCTGCACACAGCCCAGTAAAGCTGTGACATGCTGGGAACAGGGAAAGTGGGGAGGGAAATGTCAGTAAACTACAATCAGCTCATGGGCATCATCTGATCTCCACCTGGGTCCAGTGAGGTTGTGTGAATGCCTGTGCTGACACAGCCAGAGGAATTAACCAGGATCCAGAGGGATGCCGGTGCTCCCAGACCCACACCAGGTTTATGGCAAAGGCCGGACCCTGCTCTGCTGGTGATGGGGAGCAGCTGCGCTGGCAGCCGGGAAGGTATTCAGGCTGGAAGCAACGCCACGGGGCTCAGCAAGAAGCAGGGGGATCCCTACCTGACTGCAGCTCCTGAACTTGGAAAACTAAGCCATAAATGATAAAAGCTGTCCGAGAGCTGCAGGGGTGGAGGCCGGAGAGCATCCTCTTCACTGGATCACAACCTGGAAAGGAGAGGGAAAGGGCGAAAGAGAGGGGAAACAAGGGAATACAGAAAAAAAGAAGAGAGGCAGAATTTACTTTTAAGTGGGTTTATTGCTGATTGCAGCCTGTTTTTATAACGTCTAGGGAAAAGCCTGAGGTGCCAAAGAAATCAGTTTTCCATCATCAGACTAACATAGTGCTTTATACATAAAGTATCCAATTGGTATAAAATTGTTGTAGGACTTTACCCTGGGGGAAAAAAGGACAAGCTACACCGCCTCCTCTAATTCCATTAAAAAGTGACAGTTGTTTTATAATGGAGCTCTTACTTTTCTTATCCTACTCTAAGAAAGAGATGGATGTCCTGGTTTGAGGTAAAACAGAACCAATTTTTTGTTCAGCAATTTTACTTTTTTAACTGGGCCCCTTCTAACTAACTGAACTCTGAAATTAATAGCATATTGTTCAGAAACTTCACTCTCACAGTGATAAGACCTGATTATACCAAGGAATAGTATGCAGAGAGGCCCTTGCTGATACTTATTGCTATAACAACCAAGGTCAGGCAAATTTGTTATTTGCCCCGTTGGAGGGTCGGAAGCGGAAAAGCGTAGAGGGGTCCCACCTGTAGGGAGGAACGGACAGGACAGATGACCCAAAACTGACCAACAGGGTATTCCATCCCATCCGCATCATGCTCAGTATAAAAGCTGAGAGGATCAAAGGGTCAACGCTCTTCCTTCAATGGCTGACGTCCAAGGAGGACCCTGTCTGTTCGTCTGCCTTTGATACTCATCCGAGTGTTGCTGACTCCAGATCCAGAATCTGGCTCCTGTCCATAACCCAGTCCAGCCTGGGACTTTCCCCTGCACCTGCTGGTGATGTGATCATCATTCTGGCCCCCTTTTTTCCCTTTTATTCTTATTATTTATTATTTTATTATTTATTTATATTTTCATTAAAGTAGTTTCGTTTTCTCTAAACTCATAAATCTCTTTTTTTATCTCTTCCTTTCCTCTCTTTTCCTTAGCAGGGGGAGGGAGGGGTCATCTGTCGTTCTGGTTTGTCAATCTGGTCAAAACCACGACAATGGAAAAGGGCAGGATGAGAAGCAGAAACCCAGATCGAACGTGTGCTCCTCCGCTGGGACAGAGCTGGCGCTCAGCATCCTGTCCCCTGCCCCACACCGCGGGTGGGAGGAGGTCTCAGACCAGGAGACCAAAATAAGCAAAACACTAACTCAACACCCAGCCGAGATAGGACCTGGCCCTGCTCTGAACAACCTCCCCTCCTCCCTCTCATTGCTCCCTGGCTTAGACCCAGCTTTGTTAATGAGGGGAGAAAACCATGACCAGTCTGGGCAGATGGCAGATAGTGATTTCAATCTGCAACTTCCCTAGAGATCCACATACCTGGGGACACCGAGCTCTCTCATGTGCTCTGGGCTGGGGCAGGAGCTGCTCAGCTGTCACCCGGTGTGTCTGGAGGGGCCACGCTGAGCTGAGCCGAGCACTTCCTTGTACAAACACCAACCAAAACCGTCACTCCGTCCCAACCTGCCACCCATTTCCTCCTGCACTGCCTCTGCTTGAAAATGGAAGTCACTGAGTAATTTGGTGATGTTTTTGCTCCGGAAATGCCTTTCTGTCAGCGCGTCTGCTTCCACAGGCAGGTCCCTGCTGCCAACGCATGTCGCTGTCTCCTCCCACGGCTCTCGGAGGTGATGGATGCTGCAGTGGTTTGCGCATCCCCAGGAAGAGCCCGGAGGCAGCAGTGGGAAGGAGGGAGGTGACGGTGCCAGGATTCACTCTCAGGGTCGGGAGCAAAGCCCAGCACCAGCTTTAAAATTGCTTAGAAGCAATTCCCTGCTGGCCAAGAGGCGAGGCCATGGAGGGTGGTCTGTGGGCCAGCCCGTGCCAGCCCAGCCGGGTCCCTCACCCTCCCGTCCCCAGACAGGAGCACGGGGGCACGGGGCAGGTGACAGCATCTGCTCGGGTAAAGGACCCTGCTAAAAGGGACGACAAGGAAAAGCGTGGCGATAAATGAAGCATACAGAGATACGGACCTGGCCACCAAGTGACAGTGGAGGTAAGTGTAATAAACTGATGTCATCACTCGTGCTAATTGCTGGGATATCACAAATCTGCAGGCATATCTTCAGGGAGGGCCATCCTGGCTTTTGCAACTGTTAAGGGTGCAAGGCTGGGGGGTCCCAGACACCAGGGGATGTCAGTGGAAGCACGTGAAGTGCAGCAGAAGGGATTCAGAGAGCACTAAATGGGGACAGGCAGAAAGGGACATAAAAGGGCCCAGTCATGGATAAAATAGAGCCAGTCAGCATGCTTGGCTGGCAAGTGAGCCAGTGTCCAGGTCCAGGCGGGGGTATCAGGCAGGTGGAGGGTCCACACTGGTGTCTGGGGGGCTCACGAGTGTGGGAAGCCTTGGGGATGACTGTGGGTGCTGCATGTTCGCAGTGAGCATCGAGCTGGACCAGCCAGTGAGCAGGGCACCCGGAGGGGGGGCCAGGGGCCGGGAAGGGGTATGGGGTGGACAGAGGGGCTGTGCTGCTCCTTCAGGATCTGCAAATGTGCACGAGAACCTGAGTGTGTCACACGTGTGTCTGTGCTGGTGACCTCCGGCCACTGCCGGCCCCGCAGGAGGAGGGATGTGGCTCCTGCGCTGGTGTGGAACGTGGGTCCCACGGTGGGTGCTGCGGAGGGCAGGCTGTGGTCAGGACACACACACGTGTTTAACTTTGACAGATGGGAGGTGCAGCAGCAGCCCCCACCGCACCATGCCCATGCCACCATGCGGCAGCGTCCCCTGTCTGAATAGCCCCTGCCCAGCCGGTCTGTCCCCAGTCCTGCCTTCCCAGGCCCCTGTCCCAGCGCAAGGCAGCAGAGCCATCTGGCAGCAGGTCCCCTTGCACTCTGCTTTATTTTGTGCTCGATTGGTGGCTTTCAGAGTGAGTGGGTGCCATCTCCCAAGTTTCCCCATCAGTGGGGGTGAGGCCATTGCCCCTGGGCACATGCCTGGAGAACAGAGAGGTGGGATGTGAGGCCCAGTACCTGCTGTCCCCCATTTACCAGTTGAGCAATGGAGGCAACACGTGCCCTGCAAACATCTCCACCCCGAAACCCATTGGCAGCACGACAAGCCTGGGAAAGCAGCGTGAAAGGAGACAGACCCCTTCCCTCATCATGGCCCGCACACCCAGAGCACAGCCACTGCCCTGTGGCTGGTGTCCCCAGGTGACAACCCACTGGGCCGGAGGCGCATGTTGTGCCACTGACCCAGGGGGGGCTCGGAGCATCCTGCCACAGGAAGATAAAGCCTCTTCCAGCAGTGCGGCAGCCCTTATCACCCACATGCAGCTGGTTGGAGGGAAGGGAGATGCGGCAGATCCTGTGATGCAAACAGGACGGGCACTGCAGGAACATCAGCAGGGAACTCCCAAATTCAAGCATTAGATGAGGTCACGTGCCTGCCGGCAGCTTCAGGGCATGGCAGGCATTTGCCAAGAGGAGGTGGAAGCTCTCCTCTGTGGTATGGTGACCCGCAGAGAAGCAAAGGTGCTTCTCCTGGCCATCCAGTCCCTCTGGACTTTGATCTGCTCGTGAGAAGAAGCTGGAAATGTTGTGCAAGCCCAGTCCAGCCAGGACCTGCTGAGGTGGCCAGGGGAGCGGAGAGCAGACTGAAGACCCATCCAAAACCTCCTATCCCAGCACAAACCCACAGGTGAGTGTTGGCTGTCTAAAAAGTGCCTGAATGCCATGAATTTTCCATCAGTCCTTCTGCTTCTTTATCATCTTTAGGTGAGTCTTGCAATTTCCACTTTCAACAGGGAATCCTGCCTCCCCTCCCATTGATTGCTGCAGACGTGCTGGTGTCTCTCCAGGATGGAGACAGAAGAGAGGGAGTCCCTGGCCCAAGAGGTGGAGGAGATGAGTAGAAGAGGTGAGTTTTTAGAAGGGAAGAGGAAGGAGAACTGTCCTCTGTTAAGGAGAAAAATGCATCTTGCTTCTGCTGTGGCAGAGCTATTTAGGGTCAAAGCACCCGGGGCTTCTCCCAGCCTGGGCCTGTCACGGGGTTGAGACTTGGTGGCTGCAACACCCCCAGCTGAATTCCTTGTGCTGTAGACCCACCGCCAAGACGCCTGAGGTGCCATCCTTGGCTCCCTCCATTGCTCACAGAAAGAAACAGGAATCTGGGGTCTTGGGGTAATGTCTATCACATTGGTTTGTGCCCAGATGTACCTGTTTCACTCTTGCAGTGCTTGAGACACCCAAGTTCAGGTCCAGGTGTCTGCACAACAGATGCACACCCACCCACTCAGGTGCATCCTCCTCCAGGAAACTGGGGTATCCTCGGCCAGGGATCACACATAAGCTCCTGGATCAGGATGAGGGGCAGATCAGGGCAGCACTGAGGCTGGGGCAGTCCAGCAGGAGTGGGTTTCCCACCCCACGCTGGACATCTCTGGGCAGGGGAAATCGTCCAGTCCCTTCTCTTGCTGGGGCTGGTGGATGCAGCCCCAACACACCCCTGGGGCCGCCTGTCCTGAGCAGCTTCTCCTCCTCTGTCCCCAGCTGATGTGACCCTGGATCCAGACACTGCCAACCCCTTCCTCATCCTGGCTGGTGACCAAAGAGCCGTGGGACGGGGGGATGAGTGGACCACGCTGCCCGACAACCCCGAGCGGTTCGACACGGAGCCGTGCGTGCTGGGCAACCAGGGCTTCACCTCGGGGAGGCACTGCTGGGAGGTGGAGGTGGCCCAGGGGGGAGACTGGTGGGCTGTGGGGGTGGCCCAGGAGTCTGTCAGGAGGAAGGGAGTCCTCAGTTTTACTCCCCAGGAGGGGATCTGGGCTGTAGGGCAGTGGTTTGGACAATATCACGCTTTCACTGACCCTGACTGGACCCCCCTGCACCTTCCCTGCCTCCCCAGGGCCATCCAGGTCTGCCTGGACTTTACGGGCAGGCAGGTGGCATTTACTGATGCTGAAAACGAAGCCCCAGTCTTCGCTTTCTACCTGACTTCATGTGATGGGGAGAGGCTACACCCATGGCTCTGGGTGGGGATGGACTCGTGGCTCAAGCTGTGCCCCTGACACGGAGCGTGGGTGGCAGGGGGGATGCTGAAAAGGCAAACACCATTGTCTTGGTGCTGGGGACTGGGAGGGTCCTGCATCTTTTCCTTGCATGGTTCCTCTGGCCACCGAGTGGGACGTCTGGCAGGGCTTGGAGACAAACACCACCAAAGAGCCTCCTTCATCCCCTCCAGCCCACAGCGGGGACCGCAGAGACAACTCACAGAGATTCGGTGAATGGAAGAGCTTGGTGCCAAGTGGCCCCAGGGCATTGAGTGCCACGGCACTGCAGAGCTGCCATGTACAAGGCCATTAAAAATACAGCAGGTTCAAGCTCTTTAAAAGGTGCTGGAGTAATGTCTCTGGCTTTTTCCAGTTAATCTTAATGATTAAATGAAAAAAAAACCACCACAAAACCCAACTTAGCTGGATGCTGGAGCTCATGATAATGCTTATCTTCTCCTTACGTCCAAACCTTTCCTTGCCTTATTTTCACTTCTCACTGACGTGTGCATTAAGCACATTTTTTATAGCAGAGCACTGGTGACAGCCCCAGGGACAGCCAAGGGAGGTAAGTAAGAAACTGAGAAGTGTCTGAAGCCCACAGGTGAGGCAATTCCCCCAGATCTGCCCTTCTCCGATCTTCTCCCATGAAGGACTCTTTCAGCAGACCCCACCTGCGGGGTCCTGACAGCAGACACTCCTCTTTCATCAGCCCATCCAGACAGATAATCTGCTTGGACAATTTAGCAGCATTTTCTTTCAATCTTGTTTTAATCTGCTTCTCCAGCTCCCCCAGCTGAGCCAGCAGCAGGCACTCGTGTTCCTACAGGTACTGTCACTGCTGCTTAAATTTAGGCACAAACTTCTGCCTCTCCACCTTCCTTAAGGAAAAATCCTTACAAGCAGGAACAATCCTCTCAAGGGAGGGTGGGACCATGGAAAGGGACAGGGAGCAATTAAAAGTATCCATGGCTTTTACTTTCTGGTGTGGAGCGTGACTGTAATTCCCGGGGTGCTTATCGTGCACCAACAGCTGAACATGATGACTCAGTCTCCCAGACCCCAAGAATCAACCTTTCTTCACCCTCCCCAAATGAAATTCTTCCTGGTAGCACCATGTACCTACTAGATAGTCCTGGCAGATCCACCTCTCCTTCCTTTCCCATTTCTCCAGTTCTCCTTTCTCTTTCCTGAGGCTCTCCAGCTGTGACTGGATTTTCTCCTGGAAGAAGAGACCTCCTTTAGGAGCCCCCCACCACCCACATATGCTTTGTGTCCATAAACCAGTCCATACCCCGGGCTGGACACGAGAAGCCTCAGGCAGAGTCAGCCTCTGGACCTGTGGCTCCAGGATGCTTGCAGGGGTCAGCGTGACTGGGAAGTGATGAGGGAACATGCAGGAGAGGGGGACTGGGGAGAAACAGAGGAGGAACAGGCAGAAAGGGGCATAAGGGACTGGTCATGGGTAAAACGGAGTTGGTCAGTGCATTTGCCTGACCTGGTCCTGTGCCTCATCACCGCAGTCTGTCCTACCTTCTCATTAAATCCTTTCTTAACTGTCATTTTGCATGATCTCTCTGTACCTGTGGGTGTGAGTGCTGCAGGGACGCAGTACCGGCTACTGGGAGGACCAGCGCCAGTGGATTTGGTGGCAGGCACGGCACGGGGGGTGTGGGCACCCCGGGGCTGTGGTCGCAGCTCCTGGAGTCAGTGGGGTCCCAGTGCAGCTGCTGGAGCAGTTGGGGGTCCTGAATTCCAGCCGCTGTGTCTGTGAGGGTGTGTGTCCCCAAACCAGCTGCTGGGGGGACTGGTGTGAGCGATGCGAGTGAGGAGCTCAGCACCAGCAGCTGGAGCAGAACCACAACATATAGACCTGGATAGAATCCCTATGGAGTCAGATGCCAAAAAACAAAATAATATTAAGCCCTGATTACAGTCACTATCGTCACCCCGGTCTGGCAGATAGCGACACGCCAAGGGACGCTGGAGAGGCAACCAGGGCAGGAAATTACAGTCATATATAGATGTAAACTGCACAACACAGTACTGAGGACAGACTGCTGTTACCTTTATGGAAAGTTGATAGATGTTATACCAAGCCACAAAGCATGGAAAAGGGAAACTGCAGCAACAGGAAGACATCAGTTACAAAACAAACAACCAAAAGCAGAGAGGGTGCAGCTACAGAGTCAACTCCTTGTGGAGACCGTAGGCTTTTGCAAACCACAGACTGGAAAGCTTTCTGACAGGTGTATAAAAACATAATTTGCAAAGCTGGGAACAGACATGCAAAGAGCGAGACAGCAGAGGGGCTGCAACCCCCAGCCCTGAACCTCAGGACAAAGCATCATTAGAACAGGTAATCAGCATGGAAAAGGCAGTGCCTTCCCTCCCCGACATGAAGAAACAGCCCAGAAAGGTGCCCGGAGCGGTCCTGGCAGCCCCAACTTGCCCTTTGGGGCTGGGGAAGGGGTCCCAGCCCAGGGGCAGGAGGGGACCCAGCACAGGGCGATGCAGCCTTGGCGTGAGTTGTGCCCCCCGTCCAGCATCACCAGTGCACAGAAAAAATCCAAGCAAATGGAGCAAACCACCTCCTCCCAGAGCTCCTCAGCTGCCACCATGGCCAGGGGGACAGGCAGAGGCACTTGGGCTGTTTTGGTGTCAGGAACAGAGTGAGCATGGCTGTCAGGACTGGCCACAGGAGCCTCGAGGAGTCCAGGATGCCCAGTGGCTGCGGGTCCCCCAGGTGGCTCTGGGACCCCAGGTGGCACAGCATGGCCAGAGGAAGGAGAACACAGCCCCCAGTTCCTCTTCCATCCGGCCCTTATTTAAATTAAAGGGGGGTCTGGTGTTTAGACCTGGTTCACTTTAACCAGAAGGAGCCCTGCTGTCTTTAACAGGATTTTCCTCCATCAGTCACCCAGCTAAAACTCTTCAAATCCCCTTTCCACAGACCAGCTCCCCTTTTTCCTGTTCCTTCTCCCTCTGCGCTGCCCACAGGGGTTTGGTTTTTCCTCTCCTTGCCTTTTCCTCCTCTGTAGGCCACACAGTTTCAAAGATGAAGTTTCTTTCGTTTTTCTGTTGTTTCATTACGTACTTCATGATGCTCCACGTTCACAAGGCAGAGGTAGGACTCCCCACCACAGTGCTTGCAGCTCATTTTGGATCAGCTGCATCTTTCACCAGCGCTTCCACTCGTGTTCCGCCTTCCACCCAACGTGGTGGGTCACCATCCCAGGGAGTGACTGCTCTCAGCCCAGACTAACCCCAGGATTAGTGCTTTTGGGTGTATTGTTCCACCCCCACCCTCCCATTTATTTCAAGCTCAGGCAGCTGGTTGGATGCATTTAAACACCAGGAGTGCTGAGAGTGATTTGCATGAATCGGCATCACTGACAGCCATTCTTAGGGACTAGATATTTAAACAGATTTTCTTGCCTCTTTACTCTGGTCCTTCCCCTGCCACCCGGGTACGTGGACAACTTGTCTGTAGGCCGGCCAGGTGGGCGAGTGAGTTACTGAGCCAGAAGCCCTTCACTGAAAGCATTTCTGGCCTCTCCATGAAAGACAGGGCAGGGACACCAGCAACACTCTCCCGGTGTCACCCCAAACACACACTCCCCATGTAAGAGATGGAGCTGTTTGTGTTAGTCCATAATGGTGTGGAGGTCAGAGCCCTCTTGTGTCCCTGGACAACCACAAAGAAACAAAACCCTGCTGAGCTGCTGCAGGCGGTGGCACAGGCTCCCTCAGCGAGGGACTTCACTGCAAGCCCTTCTTGAATCCACAGTGGCCAGTGCCTCCTTGTCAGGGTCTGGGTCCAGCCCTGCACTCTCCATCTCCTGTTCCTCCTCACAGCTCACAGTTTGCATCCGCAAAAAGAAATTCCATGCACCCGTCCCCCCACCCACTTTGGAGGTTTCCTTCTAATTAAACATTTCTCACTTCTCCTCTTCATCCCCTCTGGTTGGGTTTGCAGTGCTGGGATCTGCTGCCCCCCACCCTGGTCCTCACTGACACAGGGGGCTGCCCTTCCCTGGGGACAAGGGCTGGCTCCTGGAGGTGACCTGGCTTTGGATGCCTCTCTCGTCAGTTGTGTGTGGCCACTGGGAGGGGAAGGATGAGGATGGGGATGACAATACGCTAAGCATAATAAGAAGGGCTTGTACAGATATGTCAGCCAGAAAAGGAAGGTTAAAGAAGGCATACCCCCTTGATGAGCAAGAATGGCAAGCTGGTAACAACAGATGAGGAGAAGGCTGAGGTTCTCAACACCTTTTTTGCCTCGATCCTCACTGCCAACCCTTCTCCTCACACCTTCCGAGTTTAAGGACCAGGCAAAAACAGGGGCTATGAGAATGAACAACCTCCCACTGTAGGAGAAGACCAGGTTTGAGACCTTCTAAGGAACCTGAAGGTATGTAAGTCAATGGGACCTGATGAAATCCTGAAGGAGCTGGTGGATGAAGTTGCTAAGGTGCTTTCCATTATATTTGAAGAATCGTGGCAGTGTAGTGAAGTTTCCACTGACTGGAAAAGGGGAAATATAACCCCTGCTTTCAAAAAGGGAAAAAAGGAAGACCCGGGGAACTACAGGCAAGGGAATTCACCTCTGTGCCTGGCAAGATCATGGAGCAGATCCCCCTGGATCCTCTGCTAAGGCACATGGAAAATAAGGAGGTGATTGGTGACAGCCAACATGGCTTCACCAAGGGCAGATCATGCCTGACAAATCTGGTGGCCTTCTATGATGGCACTACAGGTGCAACAGATGTCATCTACCTGGACTTAGGCAAAGCATTTGTCGCTGTCCCACATGACATCCTGGTCTCTAAACTGGAGAGACACGGATTTGATGGATGGACCAATCAGTGGATGAGGAACTGGCTGGATGGCTGCACTCAAAGGGTTGTGGTCAATGGCTCAGTGTCCAGCGCCGAGTGGTGTTCCTCAGGGGTCAGTCCTGGGACCAGTGCTGTTCAATGTCTTTGATGGAGACATGGACAGTGGGACAGAGTGCACCCTCAGCAAGTTGGCCGATGTGGCCACCACCAAGCTGTGTGGTGCAGTCAACATGCTGGAGGGAAGGGATACCAGAGGGACCTGGACAGGCTGGAGAGGTGGACCCATGGCAAACCTCATGGAGTTCAACCAGGCCAAGGGCAGGGCCCTGCATCTGGGTCGGGGCAATGCCCAGCACAACCCCAGGCTGGGTGGAGAATGGCTGGAGAGCAGCCCTGAGGAGAAGGACTTGGGGGTGTTGGGGGGTGAGAAGCTCCACACGCCCCTCAACGTGCGCTGGCAGCCCAGAAACCCCCCACCCCTGGGCTGCATCCCCAGCCCCGTGGCCAGCAGGGCCAGGGGGGGATTCTGCCCCTCTGCTCCGCTCTGGGGAGACACCCCCCAGTGCTGCCTCCAGCTCTGGGGCCACCATCATCAGGACATGGACCTCTTGGATTGGGGCCAGAGGAGGCCCTGGAGATGCTGGGAGGGCTGGAGCCCCTCTGCTGGGAGGGGGGGCTGAGAGAGTTGGGGGGGTTCAGCCTGGAGAAGAGAAGGCTCCGGGGAGACCTTGGAGCCCCTTCCAGTCCCTCAAGAAGGGGGGCTCCAGGAAAGCTGGGGAGAGACTCTGGATGAGGGAGGGGAGCCCTAGGAGGAGGGGGAAGGGTTGGACCCTGCAAGAGGGGAGATGGAGCTGAGCTGTGGGGAAGAACTTGTTTGGTGTGAGGGTGGTGAGAGCCTGGCCCAGGTTGCCCAGAGAAGCTGTGGCTGCCCCATCCCTGGAGGGGTTCAAGGGCAGGTTGGAGGGGGCTTGGAGCAACTTGGTCTGGTGGGAGGTGTCCCTGCCCAGGGCAGGGGGTTGGAACTCAATGATCTTTAAGGTCTCTTCCAACCCAAACCATTCTATGATTCTATCATTCAATGAGGACAAGGATGAGAATGAGGATGAGGCTGAGGATGTGGATGTGGATGTGGATGGGGATGAGGATGAGGATGGGGATGGGGAGCAGACAGCAAGGGTGCTGAGGCAGGACAGAGCCAATGCGGTGCTGCATCCACCAGGGCTGTGCAGATTTGAGACCTTCTGTCATCCAACCCTGTGATGAGGGACTTCACCTCCTCAGTTTGAAGCAGCATCAGAAACAGGGATGCCCAGCTGGAACAGAAGGTGAAAGGTTCGTGGTTTGTGTCTGCCTACTTTAGGAGAGAAAGCTCTTAAAAATGAAGGTTGGACAGCAGGGGCTGCTCCTGACAGTGAAGCTACTTGTGGTTTTTAGAACGGAGAGTCTGTTTGGTGCCAGCCAGGACACCTCAGCTTGTTTGATTTGGTTTTTTTTGCAAAGAGAGTCCAGGGCAGAAGCACCCCAGAAATGAGCAGACTTAGACATTTCTATTCTCTTTCAGTCAGATTACATGGAGGCAGTAGGTAACACTGCAGGTGGAGATTGTGCCCTATTTCAAGGGGTATTTTTTCTCTCTCACCCATTGTCCTTCACTGTTTAAGACAAGAAACTGAGAAGGGATCCTGAAATATAAAGACTATCTCTTAGTCTGACAGTGGCTTGGTATAAGATCAAAAAGCTTATTCTTCTTGTTTGCCCTGTGCAAAATAATCACAATTTCTCACTGCTGTGGTTTCTGGAATGAGAGTAAATCACTGATGTTGAAAACATGCGTATCTTAGCCCAGTTTTGCCATTTTTGACAAGGGGTCTGGTGCTCACATCCCTTTGGAGAACAGCCAAGGAGGCGTCCAAGTTGTGCCGATCACTGGCTGGTTCCTGAAGCCCCAGCTCCTGTGGAGAGATCCCAGCCATCAGCATGTAACTCCAGAGTTGCAAAACCAATCCCAAGACATGAGGGGACTCTCCAAAGCACAGAGCACCCTCCTTCTCATGGGAAATACCCTTAGGACTTGTCCAGCGTGGTGAGGAACACGCACTTCAACCAAGGAAAGGAAATTGCTTTCTGAAAGCCAGCTTAATCACCCTGATGCAGGCAGGGTGAGACCAGAGAAAGCTGGGTTTCTCAACACACTGCTGCCCTAGCTCCTCTTCACCGGAACGTTCATAGAATCACAGACTGGTTTGGGTTTAAGGGACCTTAAAGCCCATCCAGTCCCACACCCTGCCCTTAGCAGGGACACCTCCCATTAGACCAGATTGCTCAAAGCACCCTCCAACCTGGCCTTGAGCACCAGGGAGGTTTCTGTGCACAGACAAGAGAAACTTGCCCATAAATGACCAAATGCCCTAGGTTTTGTCCAGCTTCAGCTCAAATATGAAACCTTCTGCCAGGTCTCTTGGGGGGCAGGTCAGTAAAGCTGCCCACAGCTGGCTGGGAAGCCAGCACAAGGCTCGCTATCAGGGAGACAGCCTGGGCTCTTCAGACCCTCCCGACTCCAGTAACAACGCAACAGTCCAAAGTTTGTCTCACTTTTATTTACATAATTGCACAGCCCGTTTCCCCATGACACTGGAAGGTGGCGGGTCAGAGACACTGATTTCCCACATCCACGAGCTGAAGATTCGAAGAGGCATGATTGTGTTTTGCAGGGGCACATGCAACAACTCCAATTATTGGCAACTATGTTAAAGACAACAAAGCTGAGAGTGAAGCCACCTCTGCGCAGGAGCACGGGGCCGGGCCCCAGCTGCCCCCAGCCCGGGACTTCTGGCTTTCACAGTTGCATATTTGGATCAACAGTGGGTTTCCTAACTGGAATCCTGGTTCCTTCAAGTCCTTACTAGGGAAATGTGGTGTGAGAGTGCGCATCCTTCATCACCTGCCAGAACCAGATGTGTCACGAGACCAAGCTCCTGGGAGGCAGCCAGTGCTGGGAACACTAACCTAAACCCCCCAGTTTTTCTTCATGGGAATGCCCTGGTGACAGAGGATGTGTTGGGGGGAGGGGGGCTGAAGGAAGGGGCACCCAGGAGAAGGCACAGAGCAGCGGTGCAGCGCTCGCTGCCCTGGGAGGGGGTGTGCGGAGGGAGCTGGGGGGAGCAGGACGCTGCCGCTGTGCAGGGGGGGCAGAGGCCTCTCTGCACCACAAGCCTCCAGGAGCACTGGGGGCCGGGGCATCCCTTCACGACAGGGGAAAGGGAAGGTGCCCACGGGTAGCTGGCAGAAGGGAGGAGACAGGCAGGGAGGCTGGCAGAGAGAGAGGAGCGGAGACACACGGCCTGGCTGTGGCACAGGACATTCACCCCACCATCAGTCAAGACCCTCGGGCTCAGAACAGAGACCAGCTCCGGTGTGACCACAGCTGGGCAGAGAGAGGCTGCTGCCAGACGTGCAGGGACGTCACCGAGCTGCATGAGTACCCTGGGACAGGAGATGAGGAGGAGAGTGAGCACAGAGCAGGCCCCAGGGCTGAAGCAATTCTACTGGGAGAGACAGGGCACTGGCTCCTGCTGCTCATGCCACCATCGACTTCCTGCCTAGGGTCAGAGAACACGTAAGGAAAAGCATCCTGCTTTGCTTTGCAGCCAGAGAGAAGGAGGAATGGCATATGGTGCTTTGAATTCAAGAAATTACACGTCTCGATCTAGCCAAGCACTGGACTGATCCACTTGGGTTCAGTAAAGGACCAGAGGGACATAGTGTGTCCTTCCCACTGCGAGGACATGGGCACCTCCTCCCTGCTACCTACCCTCACTATCACCACAGATGCACACACCTCTGGAGCACTCGGCAGGGCAGTGCCAACGCCGGTGTCCTTACAGCTGGGCTCAGGAACACCCAGGACCAAGCACAGGCACCATCTGGCAGGGTGGGGAGGCAGCAGAGAGGCACAGACTAAAGCCAAACTTGGGAAGACCCTTGGCACATAGGGCACTCCAAGACAGAGGGGTGTGTTAGCTGGAAATGCCAGTGGATGAAGGAGGAAGAGGAGGAGAAAATGCCAGCATTGCAGAAGAAGGGACCCAGAGCCTGTTCTCCGGGAACCAGCAAACTTGGGGCGTTTCACTAGAGGACAGATAACAGACAGGCAGCACTTCCAGGGATGAACCAAACCACAGCAGCTCCTCTGGCTGCCACCGAGGAACGTGCAAATAAAGTGCAGAGACAGCCGAGACCACCCGCGTGCTGCCGAGGGGCTGCAGAGCACAGCCTGTCCTGCAGGGCCTGCGCGGAACCACTCGGCCAGAGGTCCAGCCTCGAGATGGTGCATGGACACCAGCAAACAGGAACTCCAGCTCTCACCTTTTGGGGTCAGGAAAGCTCCTTCTGCATCTTTTAAAAGCAAAAGGCAATGGTGGGTTCAGCTAGTCTGAGCCATCACTTCCCACTCACAGATCCTCCATCTACCTTTGCCAGACGTGCCAAGAGCTGAGTGCACCCGAGTCCTGAGGATGAGCCAGGATCAGCAAGGGAAGTGTTTTGTGAGATCATGTCTGCACAGGAAGAGATCTTCTCGTTTTGAAACTTATTTTGAAATTCTCAAAATTACAGTACTTTACAATACAAAATGTCTCCATTCAGTATTATGTCATTTTACTCCTTCTGGAATTATAATAATTATCAAAAACACACAACTTTCTGGAAAGGACAGAAACACCACAAAAGAGAGCAAAGAGTAAGGGGAAAGGCTGCTTGCAGTATTATCAAAACCAATTTAGTGCAAAGGAGAAGGGGACTTTCAAGAAGGGTCGATGAAAAGTGTTCTTTATATGCTCATTTGCAGAAAAGGCATAGATTTAACCTCTGAATGAGATCAGGCTGCCAGCTTCTATACTGAAGCTTAGAACATCAACACAAAAAGACTGAAACACAATATGCATGGCCATTAAAAAATAATATTATATATAGATATATATATAGAGGGAAATATTTTCCACGTATGGTATTGAGTTATAGGAAAGTGTCCCTGCAGACAGGCATATTCTGCCATCTGGCTCTTTTGGGCCGTTTCACGTGACAGATGTTGATTATCTGTTTGCCATGGTATAAAGTACGTGCCGACCGCCAAGTCCCTTGGGGTGGGACAAACGCTCTCTAGTGCCTCCAGTCGCCGTGTGTTTCCTGCGCACGCAGGGGGACACCCGACCCTCTGTGCTTCTGCCAGCCCCGAAGGGCTGCCCTCACCCCGCAGCCACGCGCCGCGGCGGCCGAGGGACGGCTCAGACGGTGGTCTCATCCGCGGTCTTCTTCATGAGCTTGGCAGAGAGGAGGGAGTGGGGCACGGGGTGAGGGCTCCGCGAGGCTGGGATCATCAAGCGGACTTTCTGGTTGGTCCTTCGCCACTCCGAGTACAGCTGGCAGTGGTAGCGGAACGAAACCTGGCGGGCAATAATGCATTGCTCTGGTTACCAAACCCCCGTCACGTGCTGGAGCCCGCAGAGGGCCGGTGAGATGCAGTCACCCATCCGCCCTCCGTGTGCTTTCTGCACATTCCTTGTCAATCCACCAGCGACCCCCGGCCCAGGGGGACAGCACTGATCCTGAAATGCTTTGGGCACTCCATATCCCAAGCCTTTGATGAGGAATCAATTATCTCCTGGTAATACTGGGCTGAGCGTGGCACAGCCAAAGGAGCTTTCTGGGTGGCACCAGGACAGTGGGACAGAGTCTGCTCAGCTGGGTTTGGGTGCCAGGCCAGTGAGATGTGTTGGGGAGGAACGAGAACTCACCCCTTCACCCCAGCCCTGGGCTGAAGCGAGCACCTCATCTGGGCAAAACGAGAGGTTTTCAACAGGACTACCAGCCACCTCAAGTCACTGAATCCAACCAGCCTCCTCCCACCTCCCAGGTGCTTCTCTGCCCTTTGCAAATGCCTTCTCTCCTTGGTCTGCAACAGCAGGACATCAGTTGGACTTATTTTTTCTGACAACGCTGTGGCCTGGGAGAGCTGTGCATGCAGGGAGAGGAGAGGCTACAAAGGCTGGGGAGGGACCTAGGGACCAGCCTGGCCCAGGGGCAGGAGCTGGCCCCGTAGTTTCAGAGCAGCCCTGCAAGGGGAGCTTCGAGCCGTGCTTCCCCAGCGGGCTCCACTCCTTGCTCTGTTTGCAATCATTAACACTGCTACAGATTTTCTCTCAGTTCCTGCTGGTTCTTTAGCTTGGAAGCTAAATGTTTCTAGAATTTCTTGAGGAAGAAATAAAATCAGCGTATATTTTACTCCTGTTTATTTTCCTAGAAATTGTGAGCAAGAAAATTAAATACTAAATCCAGTCAGTCAGTCATGAAAACCAAGCTTTTGTACTTTGTAAAAGTAGGAAGTACCAGGAAGTCTATCTGACAAGGAAAAGTCAGCATTCCTATTGCTCTTGGATAGGTTGCAGACATCTGCTATGAGAATGGAGCTGTGCCCTGGTACTGAGGTGATTTAGCTTATTGACCTGTGCACTCCCCTTTTTCCTGTTGTAGAGGGACAGTGTGGGAATAAGGTGGTTTGCTGACAAACAAGAAGGAAACGCATCTCAGTCTTCAGAGACAGCGTGTGAACAGGGAGCTAGTGGTGCAAACCTCAAGGAAAGCTCCTGCTCCACAGGAAGGAGCTGCAACCTCGGCCACAGCCTGTCTGCAATCCTCACACCAGTCACAGCCACCAGCACCCACCCCTGTAACCGCTCCTTGTGCCGCACAGCCCAGGGCAGCACGGGAGAACTGCACTTGGACAGGGTAAATGTGACTCACGGGGCTCACTTAACGCCCTCTCTGTTCCAGGAAACATGAAGCACAGCAGAACTAGAGCCATTTTAGTCAGGCCTTGGGGTTTTCCTTTGTGAAATAACATTCTCCAATTTCCTCCAGATTTCCAGCTCCTCCAGACCAGTCCCGGGACAGAGAAGACGGAAACATTTCCTCTTAAGGTTTCCAATTTTAGCTTGGTTTTCTACAGAAATGAACCTTATGCAGCACGAACATGCAGCAGCGGAGACTTCCCTCAGCGGTGCCCTGGCCACTGCCACTCCTGCATGTTCAGACAGTGGCACCCACCAGGCACCCCCCAGAGCAGAGGCTCCCTAGCACCCCAGTTCATCTGGGAGAGCTGCAACGAATGGCCTAAGCCCAGGGAAATCAGCGACTCTGAGAAATCGGAGCATGAGATGGCAGGGAAATGGGCTGTGGCACTTCCACTGCCAGCTTTTTTGGGGTCCCACTACTTGTGCTCCAGCAACTGTATTTCTTCCCTTCCCAAAATGGTGCTTCCCAGCAAGCAGCTGGTAAATGGTATTGAGAGGGCATGAGCACAGACAGGGCTTTGAACAAGAGAGCTGAAACGAAGATCCAAACCCAGAAACCCACCTAGTAACAGCACATTAAAGAACTGAAACAGAGAGAAGTCCCAGGCCTGGGAGCCCCGGCAGAGAGCAGGGCTGGGGGAGCCCCGATGGCTCGGGAGCTGCTCCCCTGGCTCGCAGCCGGCCGCGCTCAGGGACGCGCCGCACCGCAAACTCACAGCTGCTTTCCTGCTCTTCTGGACTTGCTCCAGCTGCAAGCTCCTGGCTGCCTATCGCAGCACGTCCAAAAAGATGCCAAGTGAGGCATCTGCAGGAAGGTCTTTCCCAGCACAGACCAGTTCAACATTCAGAGCAGGTTCCCACTAACCCCCAGTGCCTCCAACCCCAACAGCCGCAGCAGTGGACCAGGGCTATTCAGGTTGGCTATGGGGCTCGAGTCCAAAAGCCCAATGTAAGAGAGAAGTCAGAGGTCTCCCCAGGGCTGGAGTGCTCCTTGCACACACCCTTCTGTGCTATTGACATCTTAAAAATAATGTGTAGGAATTTGTTTAGTCATGAGAGACCCCCAATGGCCAGTCTGCACCTCCTTTGGCACCTGTGCTGGGCAGCACAAAGCATGGAGGGACATGATGGCAGATTATTTAGGGGTCAAATGTTTTCCAGATTTTATTTTTTCCCCTCAACCACCCAGGTACCAACTCTGTGTTTCCTCTTGAGAATAGGAACAGGCAGGACAGCTGGACCACTGCCTGTCCCCAGCACCGGACATTCCCCCCAGCCTCAGTCCCGCTCGGGTATGTCTCACGTATGTGGCACCCTGGGGAACAGGGCTCCCATGTCAATTTGGAAAGCAGATGATCAGGAAGTGGTTTCTCATTCTCAGCAACAACTTCAGCAGCTCCCATTTGAAGATAATTAAATGGATGTTCAAGAGAAAGAGCCCAAGATTTTTCTCACAAGGGGAGTCAGAAACAGCTGGCGGCACCAACGCGGTGCGAGCCAGTGCTTCCATCTCCCTTTCGAACAGACACAAGGCCCTGGGCAGCAGACACTTACCAGTGTCCAAAGGACGTAAATTGTGAAAAGTGCTATAGTTAGTGCTATGAGTCCAATGGCCTCCAGTCGGCTGTTGAACTGCAGATGATCCTGGGCTCCACGCAGACACAGCCAGCCAGAGATCGCTGCCAGGGGAGTAATGAACAGGAAACACACCATGTCACAGAAAAGAGTCCTCTTCTCATTGCGGGGACCAGGGTCCTTCAGCCACTGCAGGAAGGAAGGGAGAAAGGCCATGAGCCAGCAGCACGCAGAGCAAAACAGGACTGCGACAGCGGGCAGCTCTCACATGCTCTCTGCAGCCTGTACATACCTGCTGCATACACTTAACTCACGTCAACAGAGAGGGTCAAATGTATTTTTAACAACCAACAAGGGAAAGGGACGAGACAACTGAAGAATATGTGCAGGGGATGGCAGTAGCAAACTGCTGCATGGGCTCTTCCCTGGAGCAGCGAGGAGCCGGCAGCAGCCAGGAGAGGGACAGGAGCTGCCTGGGCTCTTCCCTGGAGCAGCGAGGAGCCGGCAGCAGCCAGGAGAGGGAGGGAGGTCAGTTCAGTAAAGCCTGGCTGAGTAAAGATCTGACAGGTCTTGGATTGAGCTCCAATAGAAACATATCCAGCACTCTGCAACTGGGTAGGGGCTATGGGAAACTGGGGTCTTGGGGTCTGTGGTCAGGCCCCATAAGGGCAGCTGCCTCAAATCCAGCCCTCTGGTTCCTTGTGGAGAATTGTGGCATTTTAGAGTTTCACTCCCGATTAAAATAAAATCTGAAGTGCCCAGGTCCACCTGAGAGACTGCAGAAGACAGGTCTGCAGAGGGAGTTCTCTTGAGGGTACGACTGTCCCCAGGGCTGGGGCGAGCCGTGGCAGTGCAGCTCCCCCGGGAGCCCGGCGCCCACCAGGGCCGTCAGCGGGGAGTATAAACACCCACACACCTGCTATTTTCACTGAGATGGTGACAGAGAGGAAAAAAAAGCATACCACTTCAGCAACTAAGAAATCAAGACTGGAGGAAAAAAAAAAACCTGGAAGTGAATAACTAGCATTGCACCTGAGTAGACAAAGCAGGACAGCAGCCGAGGGGCCACCGTGTTGGGCTGGCCCTGGTTAAGGAAGGTGACACAAACCCATTTTCTTTTACATAACAACCTGTGCCCAAATCTGCATCTTTCTCATAGAGAAAGCCTTTGACCATTTCTAAAGAGCAAGCAGCACGACTGCCAGGTGAGAAGGGACACGGGGGTGGGCTGGCTGAGGGGACAGCCCCCATTGCTTTCTCCCAGATCTCAGTGGATCACAAGTGACCATGAAGGGATAAGGCAGGATTGGACAAGAAACAATCACACAGACACCACTGCTGAGAAGTCCACCTTCAGGACTATAAAACTTGTAAGATCTTTTCCCTGCTGGTGACCATCTGCTCACCTTACAAGCAGGAGAGACCTGCCAGGGCCAGGACAGAGCCGATTCTGGTGTATTCCTTCCCATTTTCAGGCTTGCTTTCCTCCCAGGCAACAAGTGATCTAGCACGGTGGAAGTTGCTGCGCTTTGCTCTGTGTTACCAAGAGGCTTTGCAAGCGCTTCTCTCTGGCAGCTCTCAAAAATTAGCAGGTTGCAGAAGGAACCCAACTCTGTTGCAGACAGGTTTCCCTCAACAGGCGATGATGTCTAAATGTTCACTGCTGTTTGGAGTCCTGACTTGCTTCCAGTGTGAGTTCATTTTAGACACATGACCTTGACAACAGCAATTGTTCTAGTTTTCCTGGGATTATGCTATTTTCAGCCTTTTCTTTCCTTTTTTTAGAATAGCAAGCAACTGCGGTACCAATACCCAGAGTTGTTACAGCACATTTTTACTGGGAGTCCTGTATGCTGGGCTGCCAGACCCATCCTTCTTTCCTGGAAAGATGACTGGTCTCATTTAGGATTTTTTTTTTTTAAAAAAAAAAAAAAAAAAAGGGAGAACATGATTGAAAAGGCACAGTCAGCAGGGAAGGGAATATCCCCAGGGCAGCCAGGGCCAGGCAGACACGTCCTCCTGCCAGACTTGGAGTAGGGTGCCCGCTTTTGAACAGGCAGCATTAAAAGGGACCTGTCTGAGAACTAAAGCTCCTTCTCTAGAGGGAATACTGCAGTTTAAATAGCAATACAGAAGTGGTGGTGGCAAGCATGCAAGAAATTAATGAGACCACGCTGGTCAAAACAGAGCACAGGCGACCTGAGGCCATTGCTAGCCAGAAAGACAAGCAGAAAGTGTTGGCCCAGAAGGGTTGCACACAAGTTTGTGCAGATTTAATTACAGAGAGAGGGATGTACAGTGAGACATGGCAGAGAAACGCAGACAACTTTTGTTGAAGTGGGAAAGAGAAGCGGGAGGTGGCAAATCTGTGCAAGGAACAGCACGGTGGCTGGGGTGACCAGAGCCCTGGTGGCAGCGCGCTCCGCAGACACCTCTGACGCCAGACTGAGCTGGCCAGGAACGGAGCAGAGGATGCTGCAGCAACAGGTAAGTGCCTGGATAGATCTTTCAGCTGGGAGGACTGATAAACAAGATATTTTAGAGATGCAACCTGAAGCACCTGAGAGACCCAAATGGAGCAAAACCAAGTGAAGCTGGAGAGCAAGCTGGGAGACAGGTCTGGAGACCAAGTAACGCTCCTGCAATAACAGAGAAGTCAGAAGCATTTTTAAAGCCATTCTGAGCACAACTTGATGGCAAGGCAGCCAGAAGGAAATTTCAGAGCAGCCACAACAGTGGTTTGGACAGGAGGAGCTGGGAGAAGGGGGGCAGACCCCTTGTGCAGCTCTGCAGAGGAGATTAGTGGTGATGGGCTGCATGGGGAAGATAAGGACCACACACGCAGTCCTGAGCGACCCTATGAGGAGGCGAGGGTGGACGGCAACTCACCTACACAGGAGAGCTGCTCCTACAAACAGTGCACTGGCAGCCTCACCACTTGAACCCCCTCTGTGTGCCTGGCGGTCCCCACTCCAGCCAGCACAGGCTGCCCTGGCTACACAGCCCTTGGCTGAATGACCCGGCCTGACTGACATCCCTCCAGCAGCAATCCCAGAGCACCCCGTCCCCTGTACAACAAGAATCTCAGGGACTGAAGGCAGATAGCTATTCTACTGCATTTTATTCTATTTATATTCCTTGTGACCTTTGAAACTCTTTCTTCCTCCCTAAGATGGGAGCCAAGCATCTAAAGGCAGGAAGCAAATTAATTTCCATTTGAAGTAGATGATTTACTTTGCCAATATGCACTGACACAGTAAGAAAAAGAATACAATAAGCCACCCTAAGGGCGCACGGTTTCTGGCACAGCAGCACATTAGTGCATATGGGACTTAAAATAAACCTTGCAAACAATCCAAAAAGTGGTCAGACAGATTAAACAATTTTTGTAGGGAAAACTATCAAGTAAACATGGGAAAGCAACAAAAGCACAACTTGGTCTTCTTCCAGGCCAAGTCTAAAACCAATGGCTTCCATGCTGCAATCACGTGTGAGGCTAAAGGGAAAGAGGTAGAGCTGGCTTCTTACTGCCCATTTTGCCTATGAGCTGGGGCCCAGAGCACCCTGCTAGAAGCAACCTCTCTCTGCTTGTGTGACAAGAAGGTATTCCACATACAATCATGTTCCTTTGTCCTCCTGCATGATCCTGAGGCTTTCCCAGATGTTCTTTCTACTGGGATCAGCAGGGTTGTGGAAGGACCTAGACGCACGGCAGGGCTACAGGATGATGAGTATCTGATCTTTGGGTGTCACAGCACCCATGAAACACGGGTGAGATGGACTGCAGGAGGAAGGCATGCAGAAAAAGGTACCATCAGCTCCTCTGAAAGCCAAGAGCAGAGCTCAAAGTGTAACAGAGCAGTCTCCCAGACTACTCTGCATGTCTTGGAGCTGGGCTGCATTGTGCCATTTGGGACCAAGGGGAATGGACTAAGGAGGGTTATAAAAGGATGTTTTAAAACAAGCTTTCATTGAATTTTACAGCTTACTTACCTTGTGTTGCAAAACATACATGACTGTGAGCTATTAGTCCCTGTTTCATAAAATGCATTGCATGCAGCACTCATGTGCCAGCCCAAAGCAGTCCCGTGCCAAATGGGAGCAGTGCAGTACGGTACCAGCACTGATGGACCAGCACTCTCTGGCCAGCATGTGCCCAGGTCTCTCCCAGCCTTGCAGATAGACACCTGCTCTGGTGAACACCGTTCAGGACCAGTGCGACCTGCCAGTCTCACCAGCTGACCCTGCCACACGGTTCACCATGTGCTTTACCACTACAGTATGATGCAAGCTGCAGCAACAACGGGAGTATTTGGCTGTGTAAAGCCAGCTGCGTTACAAAACATTCCCTGTCCTTTCTGTCCACCAAATCGTTAGCCTGTAGCTGCTCAGGCACCTGTTGATTTTCCTTTCATTGCTGACCTGTTGCCTGGCTATGCAAGCCAGAAAGAAAAACATGACCTTGATTTGCAGCACCGTGATTAGCCCTGTCCCTGCCCTGAGAAATGTGTAGCATCAAAAAACGCAGCTTCAGAAGAGGGACTGTCAGACCCCTTCTCTGGGCATCCACCAAAACCTCCTTGCAGGCCACTGAGCTCCATGGGCAGCCCCAGCAGGATGGTCCTGTTTCCTTTACCAAGGTGGGAAGGGATGTTTTCTGATGGAGCACCAGAGTTCAGGAAGCCAAGACCCAGAAACACAGGAAGCCCTGCAAGCAGAGCAGTTAAATGCTGCAGAGCAAAGTTTCACCTCCTCATCCTCCTTTCTTCACTGCGTAACCACCTGCTGTCGATGCTGCACAAACCTCAACAAGCTGAATTTCTCCTTGTAAGGGCACGATAGCCTTCCTTCCCTCGAGCACTCAGCCTGGCTCTAGCCCCTGGGCTGACTCAAGGAGAGCAAGAGCTGCAGGAGCACTAGGAACAGTGGACAGGAGAGGAAGCGACCCAAGCAGCGCTGCAGGTCACCAGGACACTTTCCTACACAGTGGCAGGTGCTTCTGTGGTTGGTGTCACCACGAGAAATGCTGCACCATGACATGCACAAACGTGCAATCATTGCACCTCAGAGAAAGCCTCCTGGTAGCAGGTCTTCTAGATCCTCAAGGCACAGACAGGGCTAGACAAAACAGTGAAGATGGACTCGTAAGGAAGAGGCTAGCGCTGGTAAGTGCCAAGAGCACAGGGATG